GGTAGTAGGCTTTCCAGCCTATACAGCTTGGAGTAAGACAACATGCATGAAGAGGATGATGTGGACAAAATACTCATTTGCCTAATAATTCTGCACTCCCTGTAGTTGTTGTTTTCTGTTTTTAAAGTGACCATTTTATATTGTTTTTATGGTCCTAGTTAAAAGAGCTTACTAGCTTTTTATGACTCTTTTAAATGTATTTTGTAACATCAATCATGAAATCGTTAAAATATATATATATTTTTTGTGATTCAGAGGCAGAACGGTGGCGTGGTGGTTCGCACGGTTACCTCACAGGAAGAGGGTCCTGAGTCCACCATGAGGCCAGGGTGTTTCTGTGTGGAGTTTGCATGTCCTCCCTGTGTTTGTTTGGGTTCTCTCTGGGTGCTCTGGCTTGATCCAAATGTCCTAAAACGTGGGGTTAGTTTTATTGGAAACTCTAAATTGCACATAGGCGCGAATGGTTGTCTGTGTTAGCCTTGCAGCGTGTCCAGGGTGTACCCTGCCTCTCGCCCTAAGACAGCCGGGATAGGCTCCAGCAACCCTGAAAAAGGATAAGCAGGAATGGGTGATGAAATCATCAAAATGTTGTTTTTGTTATTTAGAAATATATTCTTCTTCTTGTTGTCCTAACGTCCTTGGGCATAGTGAACTCTGGCACATCTTTACTCTGAAACACTCTTCGAACTTGTGACACATTCAAACTAAACTAATTAGTTGTGTTTTGTTGCCTGATCCCCAAATTCCTTCATTTCAAAACCTCTCGTGTTGCCTTTGTATTACTTTCAATTAAATATAGATATTAAACGAAGAACAAGGAATTGCATTGTATTTGATAATTTGCACAGCATCCTGACGTTGTTGGAAATTGAGTTGTAATAACGTGTTTGCTCACATGTAGCTGATGATGACTTTGCTGTAGACGTAGACTGTTTAAAACTACTGCCAAATAGCAGCAAATATTACAAACCTTTAAAAATATATATATATCTAAGCATCTTAAGATGAAGACATCTGAAAAGCTTAAGCAGTTTAACATATACATTTGTACGAAGCCTTAGAAAACATATCATAAGCCATCAGGTGGAGATATAACATACTGGTACAATACCAGTGCATCAGGTCCCTTGATTCTGTGCTTTAGTTCTGATCTTGAGGTTAGCATCAACCCCCCAAAAAGCTGACCCTATTGGAACAGGATGTGTTTTATCTCTGATATTCCTAGCAGTGACTTAGTGCTGTCACTGGTAGTTTAGTACTGTACACAAGAACAACCGCATAGAGGCAGTATTAGTGTTTAGTTAAACTGTGTGCAAAATTTACATGGGGTTAAAAAGCATAAAAGCACAGACAGAGCTTTTTTCAGTGTTCTTTAAAAAGTGGGGTTAGAGACAGTGTCTTTATATTTACAGCATAAAGTCTGACATTTAGAATCTGTTAAATCTAGAACGAGGGTGTGACAGGTGTCGGCAGAAGCGAGGCTCCCTGCTTTTTTTTGATTTATTTCAATTTTTTGCTAAAGATGGCGGTTCATTTCCTGCTTCCCTGTTTCACAACAGGTTGTTTTGTGTCAGCTGCTCTTACAAAATGACACAGTTTGAAATATATGTAAACATATATTCTGCTCAAGGTGTCAAAAGATTTCATTTTTCTTTTACAAACAACTAAAACAGGTCTGTTGTTGTGTTCGTCTCTCTTTCTCTGTTATGTATCCTCCTTTGATTGTCCTTTTTTTCTGGGCTCAGTTTTCCTCTTACTCTTTGCTTTGCCCTCCTATGCCACCTGTCGTTGTTGAGACTACTGCTGTGCGTAACTTGTCAGGTGTTGGATATTATTTATGACCTTGTCTTGTGTCCCAACTGTGAAACGCCTGATAAAACATCTATATCTGCCACTAATACATAATCTCTGGGGTCCCTTCTTCACCCACCTTTAAATCAATGCTTTCAAGTGTGTACATTTTTACCATAGATTCGGCGTCTCTTCCAATAGTGCAGTCCTTTTGACCCAAGTGTTCATGTCAAAATATTCAACCTTAAGTCTCGCAATTTTGGGGGGGGGGGAACATCCTGGGATGAACAGGAAGATCGTGTTCCGAAACAAAAGAGCTAGGTAACAGGAGGAAATGAGGTCTATTGGAGCCTGCACACGGGTCAGCACCATAACTTTCCAGCTCCAGCTGCTCAATTGTTTTCTTTTGTTTGGTAAAACTGAAGCAGTCGCTCTTCTGCATTTTTCTCGATAAATTGACTACCTGATAGAACGTCAATTAGCAAACCTGTGATAAACGCTTAAGCTCATCTTTTGTTGGGACGGCTGCTTTCTGTTTGGCTGTGGTTAAGCTGTGAAGACGCTGTGTTGGAACTATATGGAAAGGTCTTCTAATATTTACAGTGCATTTGAAGGTGAAATCAGCTAACCTTTACATAGTAACCTACTTAATCTGGGAGTCCATTGAGTTCAGTTTTACTTTATTTATGCATCACCAAATCACAACAACAGTCACCTTAAGGCTCTCAACAGGAGTGGGCAGTTTATTTTAATAAGGGCCTACGTCAGGAACTGGGACTGGTGTGGAGGGCCAGACTAATAAATTAATTTTATCCCTTTATAAGCTCATTCGCACAGCCCTCCACAACAGTCCCAGTTGATGACGGTTTCTATGAGCAGTATGGCAACTGTGGGAAGGAAAAAGTCAACTTTAACAGGTAGAAACCTCCAGTAGAACCAGGCCCAGGAAAAGGCAGCAATCTGCTGCAACCGGTTGTGGGTGAGTGGAAAGAGACGAGGGCTACATCCACACTAATGTGTTTTCGTTTGAAAACGCATCGTTTTCACTCCGTTTTGGCCTCCCGACCACACTGAGATGGCGTTTTCGCTCAAGGAAAACGCGTTTTGAAAACGCTCTCGAAAACGCACACATTTGAAAACGGTGCTTTCGCGTCGCAGTGTGGACAGCGAAAATTGAGACTTTTTCAAAACGATGACACATTTTAGTCATGTGATGCAGTCAAGTGACCAATTAAACTAAGATAGCGGAGGGTGTTATACAGCAGTTGTTTTGTTTGCTCTGACAGCCCTATCAGTCTGTACATGCTTCAGAGAGCTTTTCTTCATAATCTTTAACTCGCTTTTGCAACTTTGTACTTTTGAGTTACCCGCAGCAACAAAAATCCCGGTGCTTTTCCTTGACCTTTTGCCGCGACGTTTCAACGAGCCAGAAAGTAAATGAACGGCAGACATAAATGAGGCAGGTCGAATCGTATTGTGCTTCACGCATGCGTAGTACTGGAACGCAAGCGTTTTTGGCTATTTCAATGTGGATGCACAACTCTGTGAAAATAACTGAAAACGATGGTGTGGACGCAGAGTGTATTCAGACGAAAACGCTGTTTTCAAATCTATCCGGGCTAGCGCACACGTAACCAAGAGCAGAGGGTGACTGGACAAAAGACTCACTATGCCAGAGTTTAATAATTAAATGCCCATAAAAATTTTCTTTTCAAGCTACTATTTCACACCAAAAAGGCAAGAAGGAAAATGAGAAGACAAAGGTATGCCAGATTACACAAGAACCACACTGAACATCCTTGGGGGGGAAACACACACACACACAAAAAAAAATGGAGCACCATCAGTCATGGATTGGCCTCCCCACCGCCCGGACCTCAACATTACTGACCTGGTGTGTTTAACAGCGAACAAAGCGAAGGACAGCCAGCAACCAAAGAAGAGTTTTGAATGTCCTTCAAGAAGCCTGGAGAACTTTTCCTGAAGAGTACTCAAAGAAATTGTTTAAGAGAGTTCATTCTGTGTTGAAAAATAAAGGTGGTCACACCAAATATTAACTTTCCAGCTTCACAGAATTGTACAAAATATGTTTTATGCCTTACATGCTGCATTTGCATTTATATTTCTATCCACCACTACACATATTTCCAGTTTTTCTAGCAAGATGTAAAGAAATGAGGGATGGCTCAAGACTCTCTACAAGTCATACAAACCAGGCACCATGGCAACAGTAATTACAGCCAGCACTGGTGCCGACAAACAAAATGTAATCTTCATGAGGACCCGTTTAAACAGAATAAAGCAGCTGCACATGCACACTTACTCACTCCGACAGCGTTTGGAAGATTAAATCACCTTCCAATATGAAGAACACACATGCTAGATTAAGATGATTACAGTTAAATGCAGATGATTGGGACCTGGGTGGGTCTAACATGCTTTTACTCCAGGGACTAAAGATCATCTTTGAAATGGTTTTTAATGTGACTGACCCAAGACTTTGTGGACTGGTGCCAGCTGAACTACCTCCAGATCAACGCCAGTAAAACCAAGGAACTGGTGGTAGACTTCCGCAGG